TTCACACAAAAGTCCAATTGTGGTCACATTTAATTAGTACTATGAAGGCCTTGCACAAAAAGGGTCTCAGCAAAAAAAAAAAAAAAAAAATCAAAATGCAGCATAAAGACCTGGGGTGTAAAGGTATCAATGTTCAATATGGTCCACGATCCTGCTAGCTGCTCCTTTGAGTGGAGAAGCCAGAATGTTGCAGAGCACTGCCTGATGATTTGTCATCATATTTGTGTTGATCCTTGTTAAACACAATCCCATCTTTAAGTACGTGCAGCCGGTTACAGCAGGGAGGAACGAGGAGGTCTGACACAGAAAGCGCAGGTGAAAAATTGAAGCCGACTGCAGAGGAGGCAGACCGGAGCGAGGAGCAACAAAACCGCGTGAGATGGCGTTTTCTTGGCAGAACTCCCCGAAGCGCTGCACATTCCCGCAAGATTAATTCAAGCCACTTCTGTTTTTGTTATTCCAGTCTGCAAATTACCCCCAGATTACAGGGGAACAGCTGTACAGCCACTTCAACCCCCAGACCCAACCAAGACAAACATCACACTCTCTGGACGTTTTTCCACTTCGCAACCTGGCACTCAACAGCAAGATTAATGAAACAGATCAGACACCGCAATTACAACCACAAAGAAGTATTTATTAAACCTTTTTTTGTTTCTTTCAGTTAGTCATAGCTGCTCCAACACGTGTATTTACAAAGACATGGCGTTTTTGTAGAAAAGTCTGGTGAGAGACGGAACGGGGGAAAAAGACGTTAGAAGAGTTTAGACGGGGCTCGTTTAGGCACAAGGTTCAGTCACTACAACGTTAAAACAGGTGTGCGGTTCTGTGCCACAGCCACGTCCTTCTGTGGTAGCAAAAATGTTCCCACCGACAAAAACACACATCAGATTATTAGATAAAGAAGAACAGAAGATGAAAAACAAGGAGGAGGTGGTAGTAGCTACAAGGTACCTAAATCAGGTGACAAAGAAGAAGAAGTCCATCAGAAAACGTTTTCCACCGTCCATGTTGCAGATTTTCATAATAAAACATGAGTATTTGATGCAGAAACCAATGAAATCCAACCCATTAATTGGATTCTAAAACTGACAGATTATTAGGGCCATGCAAAGAAAAGAAAAAATAAGATTACGAGAATAAAGTCATAATTTTAAGAGAATATAGTCATAAGAGAATAAAATCAAAATAACACAAGGATAAAGCTGTATTATTACAAAAATACAGTGATAATATTACAACGTTCTTCTGGTAATATTATGACTATTCTCGTAATACTATAGTTTTACTCTTGTAATTTAATTTTTCCAAGAATGGCCCTGATTCTCCGCCATAAAAAACAGCTGAATGTGAAGAGAAAACAGAAACATCTCCAGCAACATGAAGCCTAAAACAGAAACAGTTGGACAGATCCAGCTACTTTTCACTCGGCTAATGATTGCAACGCGACCGTACTGCATGTCTGATACGTGCATCAGCTATTTGGACAAACATATCTACAGATACGAGGCTGTTTGTTTTTCTTGTTTTATATAAAAGACATACAAAATGAAAGTCGGCAGGTTCGGTATCAAACTTGTTCATACTGTTAATGTGTCGACTGAGTCGTCCTTAAAAAGAGGTGCTGAAAGATACAGAGTGGGTTACAACAGACTAACCGCTGGGATACACAGTATCCAGGAAAAGATCCGACTGGTATTTGTCACTGTAGGCTGACTGGAGGCCATCATTTAACCCCAGATGTATTTATAATGTTAAGTCTCAACAGGAAAAGTCACTCAACTATTTCACCTCCTTGACTCCATTTTTGTTTTTGAACTATCATGACATCAGTTTATGAATTAAATGATTATGTTTCGTCTTTTCAAGTGAATACCACAGTGGTCTAGTTTCACCCTTGGGTTTAAATTCAGTCCAAACAGTAATACAACTTTGCCAAGTATGTGAGGAAGAGAAAAAAATCCAGAAAAAGGTTGCTGACGGATGAAGGCGATAATTCTACCCAGTTAAAACAAACAAAATCAGCTCCAAACGTCGTACGCTGAAGGGTATTAGTAAAGAGATCTTGAATTACATTTTAAATTGGAACTCCAGCGGTTTTACTCATCAGTTTCAGTTTACCAAACATTATGAATGTTTTGATTTACTAGTTTACAAAAAAAAAAGAAGGCAGGGTTTTATGAAGTGTTTGAGTTTTGGAGCAGTAGTGTTCCACCGTGTTGGAATTGGAAAAATGTTCCCTTTGATAAACACTTTAAGTATTAGGTGAAAAATTAAAGATATAAATTAAATATAAAATGTTTCTAAATGGGTTTGTGTTCAACTGTTGTCTTCTTTGGACTAGAAAGCTGGTAAATGTTATTTCAGATAAGAGAGTCAAGGAGAAATTCTCATTGAGGCAGTCGAGCTAAGACACAATCAGTCTCTAAGCTACTCAGAGTTGGGCTAATAGCCATCAAAGCCTAGCTAAAACCTACTTAGAGTTGAGCTAATAGCATATCTTGATAGGAGCTAGCTATCAAGATATGCTAGCTAGCATATCTTGATAGCTAGCATATCTAGCAGCTACATAAAGTAGCTGCTAGCTACTTTATGTAGCTAGCAGCTACATAAAGTCAAACTAATTGTCAACATCAAGCTGATAGCAAATCAAATTGGGGTAGTCAAGTTCAGATATAACCAGGCTCAAAGATACTCAAAGTTGGGCTAATATAAGCTTAGGCCAACAGCCACCAAAATCTAGCTAACAACTACTTAGAGTTGCACTAATACTCTTGATGCGGCTAGTTAAAATCATGCTAACAGCTACTTAATGCTAAGCTTATTTCTGCTCTAGTTTGTCAACATCAAGCTAATAGCAAATCAAATTTAAGCTAACATCAGTATAGCTAACTACTCAAAAAAGTCACTGAGTGACAAATTAATAGTTTTTTTAAGTCAAGTTGACAACTACTTGGAATTGAACTAAAAGCTATTCAAGTTAACAGCTAGCCAAGCATATGTATGCTCAAGCTAACAGTAAGCTTACAGCTAGTGACAGTTTAGTTTATAGCTACACTCAATTTAAGTAACCAGTTTCGCTAAGCAGAGCTAAATGAAAGCTCCTAAATTTATCGGATCAGAGCAATTCGTGGTTCCACTTTTTAAAAAAGAAATATATAGTAAGAATAAGTGATTATGAAATTGATTATGAAAACCATTTTTTACTTTGACAAAAGTGAAAAATTAAAGTTTAGATGTTAGCTTGACTCCTCAATGGGAATTTCTCTGATTCTCTAAATAATACAAAAATTGAGCTTTCACAAAGGACATTTCTCAAAACTTTTATAGAAACAAATTTCACTTAAAATTAGGATAAAAAAGTTTATTTTTCTATTTTGTAAAAGTTTGTAAGCGTTCAAAAATGTTATAATTCTAACAAGACTTGTAATTATTACATATCTTACACTTATATGGTACATAATTACATTCTTGTAAAAATTATTCTGACATCTTATTTTTTTTATTAAAGCTTCTCTTTTAATATTTTTAAAAATTTATCCTGAAAACTTAAATTGTATTTTTAATGCAAAGTTTAATAAATTCACACTTAATTCAATAACAAAATTATTTTCTTAAAATGTGTTAATTAAAACATATGCTAACCTTAATTAAAATTCCCCAGTGACTCATTGTGTTTTTGATTATTTGATTTTCAGGGTAAATCCTGATTATTCTTTGTACTTTAACACTGGAGAAAGCAGCTAACACGAGGCTTTGTGCTTTCCCAGCTGACTGACTATGAATGGAGCGTAGCATTGAAACCATCTCCACGCGTTTTTACTCCCCCATTTTCCCCTCTCAGGTCCAGCACTGGTGGAGGCTCAGATTGCATCGACCACACTCTGTGTTTTCCTTCTTCTCTGGGGGTCAATTTTTCATTCCAGAAATAACCGCTATGCGGGGGTACATGGTGTATTTTCTGTTCAGACGACACGTTACCCAGGATCAAAGACAGAAACTGAATCACCCAACGCACAACTCTGCTGCCTGTGTTGTAAATTGTTTTTGCTGTTTCACTGATAAATCTCACCCAATATGGAGCCCAGGTTGTGCCAGATGTAAAAATAAAAAAATATTTTTGTTGGGGGTGCCAATATTTGTGGGAAGTATATTTTGAAGATATTAACATACACTGCAAAAACACAAAATCTTACCAAGTATTTTTGATCCTATTACCTGGGAAAATGTGTATAAGTGAAATTGTCTCCCAATAGAACTAGTACTTTTTCATCGATATTAAGGAATTGTTTATTTAAGCAATCTCATATCTTGCTGAAAAGTTTCTTGTGAGTTAGTTTTGTGTCATCTCAAATATGCTAGAAACTAGACCAACATTAAGATTTTATGTTTTTACAGTGTATGAATAGCAGGACATTTATGGTTTTGGACATCAGGTAACATTTTATTTATTCAATAAGTTTAATAATTAAGTGTAATAATAATAATTTGGCTCCAGTTAATTAGATTTTTTGTTTTTGCAAATGAATATTTTAAAAAAATCCCAACTAAAGATTTTCGCTCCAATTTATTGATTTATTTATTTATGAATCTTTTCCAGAAGTGCCAATTATTTCAGACAGTGTTTGGATGTGTGAAGTATTTCAAATATATTTACATTTAAAGCTAACATCTATGAAACTTTTAAACTTCAATGAACATATTTTTTAGATAAGTAAATCTGTCCAAACTGCTTACTAAAGCTATCTGCTTTAAGAACTGACCTGATTTTCCCCACTTTTAAAATCACTTCAACATCTGGCACTAACTGAGTTCCATATTTTTTAAACTTACCTAAGGGAATTTTCGTGAAATTGTTTGTCAAAACCTGTCCCAGCAATTATTTATATTACAAAAACATTAACATTGATTATTTTCTTCAAGACTCAAAAAATGTGCCAAAATTAAAAGCTTGAGGTTTCAGAAATGTTCAAGCTGAAGTTGTGCTAGTGCAAAAATAGATTAATTTAAAAAACATTTTTCAACTCTCTACTCGTGTTGCTAATAATTGTGGAGGTGGAGAGGAGTGTAGATGTGATTTATTTTAAAGATATTAAACTTTTAAGTTTGAATTCGTGAAACATCAATATTTGTTGTTTGTAGAGGGAAAAATAAAAATATAAAATCCATAAGTGAAAATATTTAAACAGCTTACTGGGAGCTTACTATGACTTTAATTTTTTTCTTGGCACTAGCTAGGTAACATATTCCTTTTTCAAGGTGAATTTCTCACATTATTTTTTTTTATAGAGCGGCACCAACAATTTAGAAAAACATTTATTTATTGTTGTTTATTTCTTCATGAGTTTTCAACTGAGATCATTCAACCAAATTATAGGTTGAAATCATTCTACTGAAATCATGAATTGTTTTATTTATTAGACATTTCGAGGAGTGTTAAGTTGGGTGCCTGGTGTGGGGTCTGTTTTAAAATTATTAAATTGTGAAAGCAAAATAAGCAAATTACCAATAGTTTAAACTATTTCCCCACCTTCATCTTTTCTTTCTTTTTTGGCAATTGGCCCTTGCTGAGTTCCGTACTTCTGTATTAATCAAGGGGGATTTCCCTCTAGATTGGCGTAAAAAGCTGTTCTTTTTATTGATCATGTTCGGCACGGATACATCCCTGAATTTTAAACTTGCCTGTATTTACAATAGCAGTGTAAATAGTGATCCACGAAAACAAGAGTGTAACAGCAAAACTACGTTTGTGACATTCATCAGTGGCAAATTCAAAACACAAATACTCGATTTCTACACCCTGATGCACACCAGTCTCTTCTTCTTTTCCTAAACTTTTGTTAAAAACAACTAGATCCATCACATGTGATCATTCCAAAACAGACACAAACTCTTTTTTTTCCTTTTTTGTTTTTCCAAACGTAAGTGTAAGATGAGCTAACATCCTGTGATGGGTGTTTGTTTGTATTGCCGTTATAACTGTACTTACAGACTAAACCAGAACAGAAAAAAAGCACAAAGACGTCACAATAAATAGGAAAAGAACATTTTGCCTGGTAAAACTCCTTGTCCGCTTCTGCTCTCCGTTCAAATATTTTACTGTACACCTGTGTTGACTGCTACAATTACATGGTAAATAAAAAAAAAAACAAATAAATGCATTAATTGATCATTAAATTGATTCTGTCCAAACACTAAGAGATGAGTGCTTCCTTAATATTTTTCTAACGGCTCCAGAGTCCGCGACGATGCGTCCTTTCTAACCTGAGAGGAAGGTTAAGTCATCACAGCAGCAGCGTCCTCCATTGTTCCTCCCGCAACGAAGTGACACGAAGTGACACGAAGTTCCCAAAAAACCAAAACAAAGGGGAGAAAAAAATGTCTGTAAACTTTTTTCAGGATCCTGCTGTGCTTCTTTGCTACTCGGGATAATTAGTGTCGCGTTTGTGTAGACGGTGTCCCGAGTGGGAACGTCTTAAAAATAACGGTGAAGTATCTGCATACTGTGAATTACAGCGAGGCTCTTCCGCCGCGAAGAGTCACAAAGTCGACAAAAACAAGGAAAGGCTTCGCTTGTCGAAGTCTCTTCCCCTCTCAGACAGAGATTCTCCTCGGTTTTGGGTTTTTTTTTCATTTTATTTTTTTAAAAAGTGCTCCTTAAAGAGGGAGGTGGCGAGCTGTGGTCCACTCAGGACAGTCCTTTCCCCGGTGAAGAGCCTCGGCCGCTATAAAGACAAAATGGCTGCCAGGAGCATCAGGGCAGAGCTGAGCAGAAGGATGGAAAACCGTCGCTGACCGGCAGAGTTCACGTCCTGTCTGGCTGGTTCCGGCGACTCGTGGTTGATTCCATCTGAAGAGAGGAAAAAAAGACATTTTTAATTAAAACCTGGCTTGTTTTTTACTGGAACTTTGAGTTTTAACCGTCAAAGTTCAACTAAAACACAATTATCCAACAAATCTTGACATTTTGTCTCCCTGTTAACAGTTTTCTGATATTTGGACATCTACACAGCCTTGGAAAAATACATTTTAACATGTTTTATTTGGACTTTATGTGACTACAATAGTGTTTTAGATATACTGTAGACAGAAAAAAAGAGGAGTAAAGTCACAATTATCAGAATAAAGTAATATAATAAAGACTATTTTAGTCTGAGAGAAAAAAAACTTAATGACACTATTGCTTTATTCTCACAATACTGTGAGCTTATTCTCATTATATTACAACTTTATTCTTATATTTGACAGTTTATTAGGGCCACTGTAGATAGTTTTCTGGCGGAAATTTACTCCTTTGTTTTCTAAGAAATTTTGAGATTAATCACAGAAAATGTCTCAATTTCACAATTTTTTTCCCTAGAAAATATTTGACTTTGTTTTGTTTTGTTATTCCCAGAATATCTCTGAGATTAATCTGAAAATTTCTGAATTTCTTTTAGTGTTTTGGGGACTTTTCAAACTCAGCAATGTCCTTGTTTTTTCTAGAAATGCTCTGATTGTTCACAAAATGTCAAGATAGAAAGAAAAGAAGTACATTTCCTCTGAAAAAAAAATTAAGATCACAGAAAATGTAAAGTTTTTTCGCAGCAATTTTTCGACTTTTCAAACTCTGAAATTTTTGTGTTTTTATCTGGAATATTCCTGAGATTAATCTTGAAATATCTGGGCTTTTTTGTTTTTTTTCCACCAATTTTTCAATAATATTTTGAGAATAAAGTTGTAATATAATGGCTTTATTGTCATAATATTATGACTACTTTCTTATTTTTACTTTTTTTTGGCTTTAAATCTCTGTTATAGAAATCTGCCAAACTGGTAAAAACGTAGATTTAACCGTCCAAATCCAGTCAGCATTTTCAGTAAACTCTCACTAACCTCTGGGTTCAAGCGAGTTGTGACTGTTTTCGTCAAATTCGACTCCTTCCTGCGAGCTCCCAGAGTTTTTCACACAATTGTCTTGAGAAAACAAAGAGGAAAGAAAGAGATTTGAAGATTAGATACGTCAATCGTCACAGCAGCCAGATCACAAACCGAATTAAAGCGAAGGAACTCCAAACAGAAAGGGAAATCTGGTGATAGACACAACAAACCGCTGCTCACTTTGGGGCCTGACGAAGACCTTGAGCCGAAGGCAGCTCCTCCTTCCTCTGACGTCGGTGATGGAGGCTGCAGAAAACGTGACAAAACGTGACAACGTGTCAGACCAGAACACCTCAGACACATTACCTCCACTTCTACATGTTAAAGGACCCCCGTGAACTAATCTGCAGCGCTGAGCATGGAAAATGTCATTAAAATGTCAGTCTAAATGTCACCGTCATTACTGCACTTGAACCTAATTCGACAAAAGACATAATGAACAATGAGTGATATAATAAAATGAAGGTTTTTCAGCCTCTCAGGCATCAGCACTGTACTTCCAGCTGATTCTTACTCTTTGACTCCTCGAATCAGTTTATATTTAAAACAGTCATTTTTGAATTAAAAGTATATAAAATGAATTCAGTTGGGCAGTAGCATCATCTACTTACCCAGTGTAAATCCCCAACCACCATATGATCAGGTTTACTGTTCTGAAAAAGATGCTGACAAACCTGCAACCTGGGTCTACAGGTGAGGAAATGCGGCTTACAGCATCTTTTAATACTTTTTATGTTCTCTTTTTGTGAATCGTGTGTCTGTATGGGGCTCTGTTATCCACAGTGTTCTGCTGCATCAGAACAAGAAATGTAACTTTAGCTGGGATGTTTAAAGTTATATAATTAGGAGAATAAAAGTCATAATTAGTAGCCTAAATGTGATAAGTACCAGAGTAAATGTCAGAACCCACAATTGATTGTTTTAAATTTATGGAGAAAGATTATGATGCTTCTGCAGTCACATAGCTATACTGACATTATACAGGGAGTCATATTTAAAATATAATGTTTATGAAAGTTTCCTAAACTCTGCTAGGCTCACATTTTATGACATTTCCCACTTTTTATGCTTCAGAATGTCATGTAAAAGTAGCAGAATACCAAAATACATATGATAGCTTAACAAAGCCCCAGATTTGGAGGGCTTAACGCTGGAAACCCTCTTCCATAAGATCTCTTCACTCACTAAACCTACTTTTAGTCAAAAACAGGGAGAATGGACAATCCGACAAGGTCGATGGTTTCTTCATCAGAGGTGTTCCTCACTTATCCATGTTTTTAAAACCCGACTGAAGAGCTTCATCTCGCTGTCGGAGCTCGCCGCTCGCCCTGATGTGAGTGTTTCAGCCTCCATATTTTATGTCAATGTCACCCTCATATTTCCAAGTCTAATTTGGCCAGGGGCAGTCATTTCTGCTGCTGTGTGGCACGGCGTTACGCTCACCTGCAGAATCTCATTTCCTGTGTTTCCTGATTGTGAAAGGCAGAGATTAAAACCCTTTCTTCTGAATTAATTTTCAAGTAGCTTGTGCTTTTGTCAACAGTGTTTTTAACGTGAACTTATCCTCTGTCGGCTCTTTCAGTGCCAATGCAGACATGTTACAATTACATGACCTCTTAACATTTTCTGCAAGTCAACAGGGGAGGTGGGCAGAGCAGCAGTGACAGATTGTAGTGAAGTAAAAGTAGCACTACTTTAACGCTAAATTACTCCAGTAAGAGAGAAAAAGTATTTGGCAAAAAGTTTACTCAAGTACTGATTAACGGATGAACTTATCAGTCATTTGATATTTAAAATTTACACAATCAGGCAGACCAAATTATAAAGATGAGTGGAAATTTTGGTATTTTAAAGACCAAAGTGAGAATAATTTGTATAGACCCTTTGAGGTGTGACGTCATGCAGCCATTTCCCCCTGGAGGGAAAAAGTTGCTAGCTGATGATGACTAGCATTGGTTTTAGCTGTTGTCAATATAACATCTTAATATGTACACCTGACAGAAAAGAAAAAGTGACGCAGTGCTTTGCTACGAATTGTCAACACTATCACAACTAGACTACAAGGTCAAGAAAAGGTCTTAATTAAGAACAACTAGAGAGGCAGAGGGAAAAGTTCAGGTATGCTAGCTTGACTATGACAACCTTAACATGTAGATGTGGTGTGGAATTGGGAGTGTTATGTTCAATTAAAATATATATAAAAAAGGCGACCTAAACAACATCAGTAGCACACTGCAGTAAATTAACAATCCCTACATCTCCAGGTGTCATTTAAGAGTCGCAATACTTCATAATAAAATTACTCAAGTAAAAGTAAAAAGTACAGTGCAGTAAAAATACTCCAAAAGTATTGTTCCCCCAAAAAAGTTACTCAAGTAAATGTTACTACCCGGCTCTGGTCAGGAGTCTCAGTCTCCACTGATCTGCTACCAGACAACCTTTAAGGCGTCTGGGTATTGTGGCGTTTGTACGTGTGTGTATGCCGGTTGTGGTTTCCCACGTATGTGCATCTGTTCGTAAACGTGTCTGCGGTTTGTTCGTGATGGATTCTCGCCAGAGGTAAATTCCTGAAAGAGGCAAACTGTGTCACGGTTTCCACCGACTCGGCTCTTATTTCAAAAGACACTTTATTATCAGACGTGGAGTGAGGAGAGACAAAAATCCTCGCTAAGCGTCAACACGAGAGGAATATTGGCCGGGAAGGAAATGAACGAGAGAAGCGCTGTCAGTCACAGCAGGGATCGAGTTTCTCCTCTGGATCAAAACCTGACTGAACTAAGCTGTCTCTTTCTTTTAAAGTCGCTCTCTCATCCAGGATTCCCTGACAGTCTGTTGGGGAATCTCCTGTAAAAACGCACATTACTCCATTTTTGTATGGAAGATCTGAATCAGTCAATTCTTCCTATCTCCTATAAAATACAGGAAGAGCTCTGGAGAGTGAATTCTGCTACAAATAAATATGTTCATTTTAACATTTGTTCATTGCATAAATAAAACATTTTACCAAGTACTTTTGGTCTATTTTCTAATGCAAATAGCTTTTTACACTTGAAATAAGACAAAACAAACTTATAACTAACTTTTCATCTTGTTTTAAGTCAATACTTCCGTAAAATTGATGAAAAAGTATTAGCTCAATTGTCAGATTAATTCACAAATAACAGAAAAAATGTCTTGTTATAAGTAAAATAGTCTGCCAGTGGAACTAGAAGTTTTTTTTATCAATGCAATTTAAATTAAAGAAAATCTAAGTTATATGTATATGACAAAATGGGTTTTGTATATATACACATACATCATATAACTTGGAGTATGTTGTATTTTATTAATACTTGTGTTTTTTTATTGACCCTCCAATACATATTTATAGCTTTGACAACTTGTTGCTAGATGCTAGCATTAGCAAGTAGAGCAAAGTTAGTAAAGGAAAATAGTAGAATATATTAGAAAAGTCAGAAAAAAGTTATTAAAAAAGTAGCAAAAGAGAGGGAAGTAGCTCAGTTATGCTAGCTTGACTTTGACAACCTTAACATGAATATGTGCTGTTTAATTTGGTGTGTTTCAGTTCAGTAAAAAAATGGTGACCTCCACACTGAGTCTAACAGTTCGTCAGTAAAGCAGGTATATAATTAACTAATCAACCACTGCTGTGTTCAGATGATCACTTACTAATAATCGCAAAATAAACATCAATCCTGAAAACATAAAACTAAAAGACAGAATGTTCTGTTGTTCTCTGCATTTGGGCATTTCTTGGTGTTAAATACGCTAAGTGGAGCTGTTGTCGGTCAGTTGCTATGGCAACAGACCAGTGCGTAGTGAGAAAAACGAAGAATACGAGCGATTAACGTTTTTTTCTGCGTCATTTTCCCCTTCGTTGTGGCATGCTGCACTAAATAATAGCTACATCTCCAGGTTTCATTTTCTTAATGGAAATGTTCTACTACAGTAAAACAATCGTCTCTTTGCCCTGCAGCGTTGTGCACCTGTGCGTGAAATTTCTGGATGTATCAATAAAATGCAACGTGTCTATGCAGGTTGCCATGGTAACAGGCGTTACATCGTAATGCTAATTAATTCAGTGTTGATACAGTCTTCACGTGGCGCGTATGTCGTCTGTTGAAACTGTAACACACTCAGGTTGTAATTAAGCTTAGAAATAAATGGTTTGTAAAATTAGATGATGAAACAAAAAATAATCAAATGCAGATTTAAATCCTGAGAAGGTTTTTATGTTCACAGTTTTAGCTTCATTAGCAGATCGTTTTCTGTTTTTCTAATAATTGTTATTCCCGTGTTTCCCACCTCTTCGCCCTCCCCTCTCGGATTCCAACACTCTCACACGTCATCCGACCGTCTCTCCTCTTCTTCCTCTCTCACGTCTGCCACCGAGGTCAGAGTCTGGCTTTTCTGTCCTGCAGCGACGCGGCCTGTAACTCCAGCTCTGCCTGCAACTCTACACCGCACTGCCGGTCGGGTCATTCGTGTTGCCGCCCCTCTCCATCACGGCGGCATGAAATTCCTGGTCACGCATTTCTACATGTTCAGTCATGTGCTATTGCGCCTTATCGCGGATCAGAAGACAGGATTTGGTGACTGTGGGGTGAATTAGAACGGATCCTGATATAAACACCGGGTTTTTCTCCTTGTGATGATCAGGTTATCTCGGAGAACAAAGCCTTTTGTGTGTGTGGGATTCGTCATTATCGATGTAGATCTGCGGCGACTGTACAGAGCCGGCGTTTGAAGCACAAAGGCTTTGCAGGGAGACAGTCATCGCTCTCACACAGGGAGAGCCAGACTCTCAACTGTCTCCTCTGAAAATTGGATTTCTATCCCCTGAGATTAGGATCAGGCTTCCCCAGCTCCACTGCGGCTCTCTTAGAAAAACACCAGACCACAAGGAGCTCATAGCTCACCGCTCGTTGTCATCCCGCTGACCTTTGACCTGCATGGACGGGCCGTAAGGCTGAACCCACACCGGGTCGGGGTTCCCCCAGGTGTCTGTCTGGCAACATGAAGACCCATCCTGTCTTCCTGATGAGCAAATGAGCCTCACAGAGCACAAAGAGACGCCTGTCTTCACCAAGACGTATTGTTTGTGTTTAAACAATGGTCAACATGCAGTTTGACACGACTGTAGTGCCTTGGAAAGTAACCTTAACCTGCATTTGTTGTAGAGAAGCTAAATTTCTGTAAGCACTTTTATTCAGCGTTAGAACTGAATCAGAGCTTCGGGATTATCAGGTGTTTTCCCAAACGATAGTCCAGTATTTTCAGTTCGATTGGGGACCAAAGTTGTGATATTAGTTACATTTTCAGGTTCTTTTTCTCATTGCAGTGAATCAAACAAACCAAAACCTTTGAAAGACTTGTTCCCCTCCTCGCCTGTGGGGGCGCTGCAGAAAGAACTACTGAAAAAAAAACGACATAAAACCTCTGAAAACACTGAGCGCAACTTCATTCTTCAGAAGATGTGAACACAAATAGAGTAGTGTCAGATTTTAGCATTTGTAGGATTTATCTTTTGTCTTTAGTGTAGTATAAGTCAGAAATGCTGCCACCTGCAGGTGGGAGTCAGAATCACTTAAAACCAATGTTTTTTGTTAATTTTTGTCAAATAAACTTGAAAAAAATTGATCTACGTGAAAAACATTTGTAGAATTGTTGATTTCTACAATCGTACAATCACAAAAAATTGGAGGATTAATGGGAGATATGTAACCAAAGTAGTAACACGCACAGATCTGCCAGTGCCACCATCTTGGTATGATGCCCACTGTTGACAATGCATGCTTGGTTCCTCAACAAGGCACCAATGTTCAAAGGCGCCCAAACCTTTCTGCAGAAATGCGCTATCAGAGGAACTGGCTCTCATCCCAACCTTGTCAATCTCATGACAAACGCCTTACAGTGTACGCTGAAAGTAAAGGCGGACATCTGTTGACTTTGGCTGTATTTCCATACGTCTGCTACTACGCCCACAGTTGATATGGTTGGTTTCCCACAGAGGTGGAAACGGGCGTCAACTCTCAAAGTTGTGTACAACTCTTGCTTTGGGGAAACAAGAACCAGGAAAACTTTTAAAACCAACTGGCAGTACCTCAAAGGTCCCTTGAGAGAAACGGTCGTAGGCTCCGTGACCAAATCCAGAAAACACATGTAGACCGGACAACCAACCCTGTGCAACTCCTTCTCCCAACTGAGCCAGAACAAGGACAGAATCCGCACCGCTCCCAATGAATCTGAGGTTTGGCAACCGGATGGAGCCTCCTTTCCAACATCCTACACTGTCCCTTTGGAGATGGGAAGTACAATCTGTGGTTAGTTGGTGGAGACTCTCCAATCAAGCCCGGCATGCAGCTTAAAACAGGTGTCAATCACGACAAAGACTCGATGATGTCCATAACTTGGTGATATAATCCAAAAGGGACGCTGCTTGTGTCGCCAAAGCCTTTAAGAACACAACCATCCAAAGGTTTCCTTGTTTCCGTGAAAAGGAACGAAGGGAAACTTGGACGTTACATTAGCCCATGATGGCAGGACTGTATGTTCTGACATTTTCCCAGAGGTGTTTTCTCCTCGTTTGTCATCTCTTCCTGCGCTCACAAAAGATAAAACAAAGATCTTACAGATGAGTCACACATCTGAGTCAGCGCAAGTGGCCCAAAAACCGCCCAAAGGCACACGGACTGTCTCTGGGTCGCTCTGGCTCCTTAGACGATCAATCACCATCAAAGACAAAACGGGCCTCGCCTTCACAGAACTCAGAGCCAGTTGGACAAATAAAGCTGAATTTGGAAAGCCATGAATTGACTTATTGACTTCCAAGAAATTACGGCAACATCAACAATTCCCTGGAATGAGTCTAACGAGACCACAGCCTCTCTAAACAATGCAGCCTTACAGGCGACTCTTGGGGATGTTTTATCTCCAAACATCGATCAAAAGAGCAAAACAGCTTATAAAACACCTTCACTGACCGTAAACCAGGGCTGGACAATAGGGCTTAAACACAGAACCTACTGATTTTTATTCCAGATTTAATTTCTGATTCCTTTTGTGAGTTTTATGGCAGACTATTAGGGCCAGAATTACTTTTTTTTTATTACAAGAATATAGTCATATTAGCACAATAAAGATGGTTTTACCAGAAGAACATCATAAAATTAAGAGAAAAATGTTTTTCTAGGGTGATTTAAGGCCAAAACCTCACCAAAGTACAACTTCACAGGATGCTCAACATTCCTCATTTTATTTTGCTGGGTGATAAATTGTCCCAGTAATTATGGCGATAAACAATAACATTGTTGTTTTGAGACCATTTTAAAGCAATATAATGGTGACAGCGTAATAATAATAAAAGAACAGATTCTCCAAGACCAATAAATTTTAAATCCTAAAGAACATTAAACATTGGAAATGGAAGGTTTTTTAAATATTCGTAATAAATAAACGAAACAACAGAAACACCAAATAAAGTGAATATTGAACGCAGTAAACAAAACTGTCCTTTAAAAATTGGCTAGTTGACGCCAAAGAACCAGACTGAAGACTTTTACCATCCAGTTTTTGGTAGAAAAGGAGAAACACTGCAAAAACACAAAACCTTACCAAGTATTTTTAGTCTAGTTTCTAAAGCAAATATCTTTGTTCACTTGAAATAAAACAAAACTAACTTTTTAACAAGATAAAGGAGCTTGTTTAAGGCAGTTATTCCTTAATAATGATGAAAATGTGTTGATTCCACTGGCAGATTATTTAATTTATAACATGACATTTTCCTCATGTTATAAGTGAAATAATCTGTCAATAGAACTGGCACTTTTTTTGTCAATATTAAAGAATTATTTACTTAAAACAAACTTGCTTAAAAGTTACTTTTAAGTTGTTTTTGTCTTATTTTAAATGTCCTAGGATATTTGCACTAAAAATACTTGGTAAGAAAACCGAAACATTTTAATTTATCATGTGATGAACTGATTAACTTTGACAGACTTTGCTGTTCTCATAAAGTTACTGCTTCACTTTCCTAACATTACGATTTTATTTTGGTAATGTTGCTTTATCCTCACATTATTTTCTGTAATGTTACGACTTTATGCTCATAATTAAAACATTTTACAGACTCACTCTGGTCCTAGTAGTTTGGTTTATACTTGACCTGAATTAAAAATCCAAACAAATAGAAGCTGTAAAAGTTTTCTGCCCTGGTTACACTGACATCCATAATCTCCGTAAGTGTAATTTTACTAATTGATAAAATGTAATTTATCGCCCGACTCTAATTTTAGGAGACGCTTACGGAGCTTCAGCAGAACAGCAGGGGGTACATGGATATAAAAACAACCTCCTCCTCCTCAAAGTGTCTGGTTATCCCTGTTTTCCTCTGCGCTCTGGTGCCAAAACATGGCTGCCTCGCTCCACTTTATTACTGGTTCCTGTTAAAACCCTTGAAGTCTCAGGCTGACCTCTGATGTCAGCCAAATGTCTCCAAACCCACCACTGTGTCTTATTTAGTCCAGCGCTTCTCTCCCTGCAGGGGCCTGACTTCACTTATGAAAACACGACTTCCCCGCTGCCTGTTTGGGTGAGTCTTCTCAGGAGGAGCAGAAAGCTGAGCTGATTTCAACAATATCAGTCTCCTCATGTATGGAAGGCTAAACGGGACAAAATTAAACTGATGATTTTGATGGTTGACTAATATAAATGGATGGTGATTATTTGTATTACATATAATTTCCATTTTAATGTTTTAGTGACCTATTTGGACATTTATTTATTAAATTAATGATTTAATGACATGCTTACTGATTTAAATTTGTCCCTTGTAACTCTCCACAGTTTAAAGTTTTGGTTTTGTTGTGAATTTTTAGTATTGCTCCAAACTGCCACCCAGAACGAAAGCGAAGCTGCACAGAGCTCCAGTTTCTAACTTGAGCTGTTGGTCACTTTAAAAATCAATTCATTATTTTCCAGTTTGATTTTGTGTTAGCTGCTACTAATGGTGTTAGCTTCTGCTACTAGAGTTAGCTTCTGCGAATTGTGTTACATCTCTTGTATGACGACATGAAAACTTTGAGCTAACCAACATAGCTAGCTTTGAATTCTTGTTTTTTATTTAAAACATCTAGTTCACTCTAATCTACCCAAGTTTACTTCAAAAATTGCCATTTTTGAAGTAATTTTGAGTTTTTGCGTAACACAAACAACAACTTTCAGGTAATTAGGAAGATCACAGGAACCTTAAACCAACATATATACTCACAGATGTAATAATACTCTCTGCCGGGGCGAAACTCGAAGCCTAAGGAGAACGGAGTGAAGAGCTGGAACTTCTCGGAGAACTTGAGCGGCCCGTTGGGCGACAGAGGCCGGTTGCACTCCCAGCGCTTGAAGCCCTTGGCGGTGTGGTCGCAGGAGCTGTAGCCGTCGTAGTTCACCATGTAGAGGACGTAGCGCTCGGCCCGATCGTCCGACACCGGGCTCACGTAGTGCGGACAGTAGACGTCCAGGTAGTCGTTGATGCAGACGTCGATGTGGTAATCACCCCGGTAAAATCTAGAGGGAAACAAACAGTTATGGTGAGTGTTTGACGTGGAAAATCAGCAGATTTAAAATGGACATCTGTTGGTTTTTAAGAAGTTTACAAGCCTTTTTCCAGGAACAAACTTAAATACCCAGCCAGATACACTCTACAGCTTTTTGATTTGAACATTTCAGTCTTTTTATGGAATACTGGAAATACATTAGAAGATGTAAATAGGAAAATAAGCATTTATTGCCTAAAATGCAGAAGCAACCATTAGGGAGTTTGAACTCGGTGAAGCTAAATGAGGAGTTTTAGCTAAAACATATTTACAGACGAGTCTTTTTTTATATTAAATACAAAATGTGTTTATGTTTTGTGCAGTGGTGGCTTAATTGCTGTTCTGAATAAATAGTTTTTTTTCCAGCAATTAGCCTGTTTTTTTGAGTCAACTGAAAGTCTACAAAACATTCAACAACAATTTAAAATCTAAATTAGGCAATATAGAATGTATTTACAAACATTACTTTTGGAAAAACTAATTATGCTAAATATTTTCAAAGTTAGCAAAAGTGCAAAATGACAATCTTGCTTAGCAAGCTTTGCTAATAGTGCAAATTGCTAACAACAACAACAACAACAATCTTTCAAAAACCAAAACAACAAAACAAAAATTTTTTTAGCCTGATTGGCCCAAACTGCTGATTGACCAGTTAAAAAATTAAAATCAAAATTTTTAAGGAATGTTATATAATATAATATATTCCTATATTACAACACAATCAGTCTGCTGCTTTAGCCCTGCTAGCTATGCTAACCATACAAAATGCTAACTTAGGCCACTTGAACCAAACCCTGTTTTACAGCAGCTGCATCAAAATAACTGATGGCTACTCAGTAAATAAAGGTCAGAGTGCTCTTACATCCGCCTACATTGCAGTTCTTAAAAACAAAGAAGATTTACAAACACCAGAGATCAAGAATCTGAAGGTAAATCCTAATCAGTGCATCTCCTGTAAACATCTTTCAGGAAATCCTCAAATTTCCTTTGGAGGAATCCTTTAATTGTTTGGTTTGGGAGATTTCCTTACTATTACAGGAGAACTCGAGGACATAAAGACATCAGAATGAAAGATGGGCAAAGACGCAGAACGTCTCGTTATGTCAGTCTGAACCTGTAGCAATTACCTCCCAGCAGAAACCTTTGATGGTCTTCACTCGTCAGTCTTTAGCCATTTATCAATGCTGGCACTCAGCTGAGATGACTTATGCTGCGGCTGAAATTAAACTCCCCCAGCGTTGCAGAGCTAATCCCCTGGTTAGGACGGGCCTTTAGCAGCTTTAGGAGGATCCCGCCGCAGACTGAGATTTTCATTAGCCACAGATGACAGCTCGATGTACGAACCCCGAACCCCCCAAACTCTTGTTAAATCTGTGAGAAACAGGCCTGTTCCCAAGCCTACATACAGACTCTCCGTCTGCTGTTTACTGTAAACCGATCGGACAAGAGTCAGGGGGAACGAGTTGCAACCACAGGATATGCCAGGTATTCATTCCTGAGGTGGAGTGATTGGAAACACATATTCCCACCAGTGCAGGAGAGGCTGAGGCCTTTCCAGAGCCTGAACTGCCTGCAGCTGCTAATGACCTGCGAACGCGTATCACTGACATGCTGAGGATGTCTTCAATACTCCAACGGTGTCCATCGACAGGTTGGGCAGCCGTGGTGGAGGGAGTGGTGAGGCTCTCATAGCTACAAGCTACAAGAATTTCTATTTAGTTATTAGATTATAGTCAAATTAGCAGGATAAAGACACCATTTCACCAGAAGAACATCTTTAAAATTAAGAGAAGCTTCTAGAGTTATCAGGATCTGACGGTTAAAGCTCAGTGAGTTTTGTTTGTTTGCCAAAGTACAGAGGTGGGCAGAGTAGCCAAAAATCATAAACAAGTAAGGGTAGCCCTGCTTCAATGTGTTTTGATTAAAGCAAAAGTAAAAAGTAGCTGTGAAAGAAATGACTCAAATAAGAATAAAAAAGTTTTTGGTAAAAAGTCAACTCAAGTACAGAGTAGCTGATCAAATTATTAAACATTTAATCTTTAAAAATTACATCATCAGATGGACCAGGCTTGGGTTGCTAGGTAACAGACGGAACTCCGCTGGGGTTGCTAGGTAACGGACAGATTATTTCACTTGTAACAAAACATTTGACCCATTTTATAAGTGAAATAATCTGACAATAGAACTTTTTCTGTCAGTATTGATAATTTATTTACTCCTATTTCTTGTTGAAAAGTTACTTGTAAGTTAGTTTTGTCTTTTTTCAAGTGCTCTAAAATGTTTGCAATAGAAACTAGACTAAAAACACTTGGCAGGATTTTGTCTTTGCGGTGTGAACAGCTTTAATTGATTTTCCTGCACTGAAAACACAAACAAAATGCTGACCACCCAGGTTTATTTCAGGTTTAAGAGCAGAGTGGAAACCTAATGAGTCGCTGGAGACTTGCTTTGAGATGCTTGTTAACACTGCAGACACAGTATGGATGGATCCAAACGTCTCCGTCTGAGCCGGGTCACCGTGACTTTCACAAACTATTTCACACCTTTTTCCCACAAAGGGATTAGTCAAACCCCTTCCCAATCCCGGCTAAGCTCAGGTGTTACTTCTGCGGCCGGCGTTGATTGACAGAAGTTGACACAAACAAAGCGGAGGCCGACATCAACGTCTTAGTGCGGATAGCGGACAAAGCGGGATATCCTGATACCGACGGCTTCAAATCATAATATCAGCAAGCTCTGGTGAAACTGAGGCTGTCCAGAGCCAAAGCAGCCAGCTGGGGGCGGAGGGAAAACAAGGGCTTTGGTTTCACATTTTACTGGGCTATAATTAGAGAGGGGGTGGACCGGAGGATGACCGAGGATGCTGAGAAACTTCCACTGGTGGGCTGGGTGTTCCTCCTGATTATGAGGCTAAATGAGCCGCTGAGTCACCAACACAACCTCAGGAAAAAATCTGAAATCTTCAGGTTAGTCTTGGAAACTTTTTGGAAAAAAAAAAAAAAAAACGTGGAAATTTCTGAGTTTGAAAAGTTGAAAATTTGCTGGTGAAAACTTTGAACATTTTCTAGAAAAAAAGGACATTTCTGAGTTTGAAAAGTCAAAATATCCTCGTTTTGTAACTGAAATTTTGAAGTGTTTTCTATAAAATATTTTTTTCTCGAAAATTTGTGACTTTTCAAAGTCAGAAATTTCCACACATTTTTCTAGAAATTTTGGAAAACCAAACATGGAAATTTCTTAGTGTGAAATTTGGAAAATTACTAAAAAATGTTGAAAATTTTAGATTAATCTCAGAAATTTAGCAGAAAAAAACATGGAAATTTTGGAGTTTAAAAATAAACCACTTTGTCTTTTGATACTCAGAAATTTCCAAGATTTTCTCTAGAAAAGTAGGATTTTTTCTAGTAAATTTGCAACTTTTCAAAGAAAATCTTAGTTTTTTTTTTCTAGAATAAAACTTGAAGATTTTATAGCCAAAAGTAGAAAATTTCTGACCTTTGAAACTCAGAAATTTCCAACTGCTTTCTAGAAACTTTGAGTTTTTCAAACTCAGAAATCTGAATGTTTGTTTTTCTACAAAATTTCTGATATGAGCTCCAGGACGTGAAATAATCAAATACATTTTTATCAATATTTAGGAATTATTGGCTAAAATCTCCCATAGCTTGTTGAAAAGTTACTTATAAGTTAGTTTGTCTTATTCAAGTTTATTAGACTAGAAGCTATTTTATGTTTTTGGAGGTGACGAATATTTAAAAATTAAATCCACTTGGAAATAAAACTGTACACAAACTTCTGTGACTGACATTTCTGAAAACAATATTTCCGGAAAATGTCAGTGTGAAAATGTAAAGTAAATATACCCCCAAGCAGGGGGAATGGACACGGCCATGTTGCTTTTCTCAGCTGGATTCTAAGTTAAAATCTGATTGGAAAGTCCGTCTGAATCCCACCCACCTCTACAGCCACAACAGATCAATACAAATTACTGTAGGGCGCTGCAGAAATATCACCAGAGATCAGCCGGGGTGTTTATAGCAAACAGACTGAAAGATTTCACCGGGGAGAGACGGAGAGGAGGGCTGCAATGTGGCGAAATAAAGAAAATAAAGAAAACAAATAAAGCGTCTTTTCGTGGTGGTTTCTGCAGCCTAATAGTCTGAAATCCTCTCTGGATTTCACCAGTCAATACAGGTCAGCATGAAGGCTCACAATGCAAAGGATGCACCACTGCTTAATCAGCCTAACCCTCATATTTCCAGTTCATTCAACCTGGTAGGTGCACAAATTACCTCCCACACAGCTCAGGATGCACTGTGTAAACATTTTAATTAAAGGCGCTCACACTTGAAGTATGCCTCAGTCTGATCCCTATCATTTCGTAGAGGCAAAATTAGAAAGCTGCTAACCACCATCTACCCACAACTCGGATTTATAAAAAAAAAAAAAGAAAAAAAAAAGATCTGGTTAGAAATGGTGTCCCTCAGGGCCGAGTTGTTGGTCCCATTACTTTTTTACATTTTACCTGCCTTCAAGTTAAAATTGGGCCATGAAAAAAAGAATTAAACTTTTTTTAAAAAAAAAAATCAGAATCCTGACAAAAAAATGACTGAATTCTGAGAATAAAGTAAAGGTTTTGACAATAAAAGTCAGAATTCTGAGAAAAAGTTAGAATTTTGGGTAAAAAAAACAAAAACAAAAAAAAACTTCTGTATTCTTAGAATAAAGTAAGAATTCTGAAATTTAAACAAAGACACTCGGAATTTGGAGAAAAAGATTTCTAAATTAAACTTAAAATTCTGGGAAAAAGATCAGGGCTCTGAAAAATAAGTAAAAATTTTAAGAAAAAAGTTAGAATTCTGAAAATAAGAATTGTAAACATAGAGAATTAAAGTAAACATTTTGAGAAAAAAAGTAAAAAAGTCAAAATCTGGAGAAAGATATTTTAAAAATCAAAGTCAGAATTATATT